TCAGGCGCCTTTCCCTCCACAATTAAAGTACAGGTGAATTCAGCGTGCTTACTCTTCTGACAACCCAGGAATCCTCACTCAGCCCCACTAGAAGAACAATTTAAAACCTGGGGGAAATGAGACAAAGAGTTTAAAACAAAGAAAAAGAGGAAACATTAGAGGGAGAGAGAATGAGAATGGTATTCGGTAGAGGCGAACCAAGAATTCAGAATTTCTAAATGAGGAAAGGATACGGGGAGAAAGAAGGGATGGACTGGGAGAAAGAAGGGATGGACCGTGGGGCCCTGCGGCAGGAACTTATCGTGGCACGAAGGACTGAAAGCCATCTCTAACGGGGAGTACCAGCTGGTGAAGGAAGAGGAACAGGGTGTCCCTGGAACTTACCTCCGTCTGGAAGCTGCAGGGCAGTAAGCTTGACAACAAAATGGGCACACGTGACGCCGCCAGCACCACGGGGTTGGATAATAACAGGTCTCCCCCCGGGTGGTAAAAAAGCAGAACAAGTATCTAACATATGAGAGAGCAAGAGAAAAATCCCTGTACTGGGGTAGGGCTATGGGTACTGGGGATGGAGATGGAATAATCTCAACCTACTAAGTGAAATTCCAATGTCATTTGTTTGCTGCTCTCATAAAGGTTTACAGCCTCAGAAAACCCACAAGAGCAGTTCTACCCTGTCCTATTGGGTCCCTATGAGTCAGTATGGACTCAATGGCAGGGTTTACTCTAAATAGGAAGGCTAACGAGTTAGCGTTTCCCAAAGTGGGCGATACTGCCCCCTAGTGGGGGCCGGAACAACACCGGGAGACCGCAAAAGCAGTTGATTACACTTTTATCTTGGACTATATAGGCACAACAGCTTTTAATTGCCAGAATGGGCAGTGATTATTTTTTTCCCCCCCTGAAAGAGGGTGTAGATTGGGAAAGTTCGGCAAACATTAGTTTCTGTGGTACAAAACCACCGTGGATAACTGATGGGCGAGTATGGCTGTGTCCCAATAAAACTTTATTTACACCAACAGGCTCTGGGCTGGGCTCCTGGATTGAGAGAATGAAGCCTAAACTCTAGTCCATAGTCACTCGGATGAAGAGCTCATCATTTTATCTTCAGGTTACATGAATTACATTGTCAAAGGCAAAATAGCTATGACGACCCTTCTAGATAATGTCTTTGTGTCCCATTGTAACTAATACTTCACCCCGGGTTTGGGACATCAAAAGAGGAAGTGTCCAGAGTTTAAGCTGACGGGGCTTCTATGAAAGACATGGGCTGATGAGTCATGGTTGGGAACAGGTCTTGAACAATGCCAAGGAAATACATCAGCACACCAGGCATTTCAAAGTAGCTGTTTTATATTTTCATCAAGCATTGTGGCAAAAGTTAGACAACCTTCAAAACCTAAAATTTTCTCTTTACTCAGTTTATAAGATGATGGTGACCCCTCAAAACCCAACTGTAAGCAGAAAACTTATTCATTAAAAGTCCCAAGTGTACGAGAATGTTAAACAAGCGAAAGGAATTATCTACTTTTGGTGCTGGTAATAAACAAGGTGGACATTTAGAGCTCGTGTATAAAAAAGAACAGGTTGATGAGTGGATTCCTTATATTAAGATAGCTCTCTTCAGTTCATCCAGTTCTTACCAAATTAAGACTATGGATAGATCCTTGAGGAGACACTGATCGCATGCTCCCAATTTCACAGTGGGATACGTTCCCAGTAGGGTCTGTAATACAGAGGAGGCCTCTGGAAGTGACCACTGCCAGTTGTTCCTAACTCAAAGGGAGAGGCGGTGGAATCCATGCGCCAACCAAGGATGAAAAATCCGCGTTGGCTTCAAGGAATTCACCACTGTTCTCTTGTGTGTCAATAAAGCACTTACACGATTGCTTCCACGACACTAACTTAATTTACACAAAGCAGGACACATAGCATCAGGGATAATATAAATGATCTTGTTTTGACAGCAGTTACATTCTCTCGGAGCATAGCGCAGAGAGAGAGAAGCCCTAGCAGGAAGCTGTGTGCAGCAGTGTTCCTCTAGTTATGTCCCCCACCGGGCCAGCGGGGAGCTAGCAGTTGAGTGACAAAGGCTGGGGAGGGAGTTCACAGGCGCACAGGCACTGTGAGGAGGAACTGGTCATCCCCGAGCCCCTGCACCTTTGGACGATAGTTGTGTATCAAACTAGATGAAGGCAACTGCGGACCACCTGGAAATGCGTTACTATCAGAATGGAATTCTGAACATCAGCCACTGTAAGGTGTCATCATTTTCAAAATGAGAACATGGTGTGTGACCAACAGCACAGGAGGGAAGGCTAACTCTAAATGTTCTATTAAAATGCTTTAAGGACAGCCTGTGCCAAGGGCCACCTCAATCTCACATTCTGAAAGGACATTTTGGGTTAGAATTGAGGAAATGAGGCAAAGTTTCCAAGCCAGGTCAGAGGAGAATGTGTCAGTGTAACTGAAGAATACCTCACTGAATCTCACTGTCTTTTCCATCTCAGAGTGACCTTACAGAACAGAGTAGAACTGCCCCTGTGGGTTTCCGAGACTAGCTCTTTACAGGGGTAGAAAGCCTTGATTTTCTCCCAAGGAATGGCTGGTGGTTTCAAACCCCTGACCTCGTGGTTAGCAGACCAATGCATAAGCACTATGCTACCAGGGCCCCTAGAAGTACGCCAGTCAGCTAGAAATCACCAGTGGTTATAAACCTATGTGGAGGCCAAATTTCTGAATGTGTGTGTGTGTGCATGTATACCTCCTCATTTCTGAGGAAAGATGAGGAGACAGGAGAAGCTGCTAGTTGGAACTGTTTTATAATAATCTAAGAACCCCACCCACATTTCTGAATTCTCATGGCGCAATTAAACAAGACCGAGGAGGCGTACTGTACTATTCCTATCAATATGCCAGGCTCACTTTCGGTTATTCCAGTCTTAAAATTTTGAGATGTTCAAAGGCAGCTTTCTTGCACCCAAATATTTATCTATTAGGAGAAGGCACTTTTGCTTTCAGAACTCGAGGTGCTGCTATTAAAAAGGTTTATATTCTTATTTTCAATAGCCACCCTTAGTTTGGGGCTCCTATTACCTCAAATCTCAACTCCTGTTAACTGGTCATATGCCCCAGTGTGTGATACTGGTAGAAAAGTGCTTCACACCCCACTATTCATAAAAGAAAGGCTTGATTGCTTTGTCCTTCTGTTACACCCACTGGGTGAGCCCCCAACCCAACCCATTGCTGGTGGGTCAATTCCCACGCATATCGACCCTAACAGGACAGAGTGGGACAGGCCGTGGGGTTCCAGGGCTGGAATCTTCACAGAAGCAGAGGGGTCACATCTTCTCCGGCAGAGTGGCTGAGGGGTTCTAATCACTGCCCGTCAGTCAGCAGGCAGGTGCCGAACCACAGCGCCACCAGAGCCCGATCCCTTTAAAACCCAAGGTTCCAGGGCCCTCTGTTCTCCAAGCTTATGTCACGGCTGCGGAGAGAAAATAACACAGCTACCAAGTCCTGTCCTTCTGATGGCCGCTCTTACCCAGTCTCCTTAGAAACTCAACTGCGTGCCCACAAACTGTCCCCACTGCCTTCAGGATTCATGCGGGCCACGACCAAGATGAAGGAAGGAACCTTTGTTCTGTCCAGGGCCGTGTGGGTATTTATTTATAACACCTTTCTCGGGTGTGCCTATCTGCTTTGGTGAAGATGACAGCCAAGAAAACCCGACAGAGAAGTTCTTTTGGGGGCGGCAGTTAACATCCCCAACATCAGGGCCCCAGACACGGTGAGCTCACACTGCAGAGTTCGCTTCCCCAGGTAGCTTGGTGTCCTGCTATTCTAACCTCCCTCGCCCGACACACCCATTTGACGCCTCGGCTCTGTGAACCTCCCACAGTGTGTGATTGCCCACTGTTAGAGACAAGCCATGTTCTCACGTGCCCCAGGCCTTCCAGATGGGTCTGCGGCTCCTTTCTAACCGCCTTTGACACTTCAGCCCCAACTTGGACTCTGGGTCACCTTGCTTGAAACCCTAACCCTGGGTCCCGTCTCTCTCTCCTGTGGTGAGCTGACTGCCTAGATGGAGCGCCTCACCGCTGGCACTGCCAGCTAATTTCTCTCGTCCCCAGAGAAGGTGAGCTCCAGCAGAGCCAACGGAACGCTCCCACCATTCTACCTCCTGGCACCGCACACGGTCCACACACAGAATGCACTCCTCCATGGACACGGAAATCGATGTTGGTGTCTTCTCACGTAAACACAAAGGGAACTTTGACCTTCTGCAGTCGCCATTCATGAAGTATTTGTTGAAGTACGGATATGGTGGTCAAGAATTGCATTTCTTCTTCCCACGTCGATACTTGCACAGCAGTGCAAATGAAGTAAAGTATAAGATTTAAAAGTCCTACACACTAAGCTTTATCTGCATAGTTCATCTCAGAATACAGAAAAACAAGACATCCATGGATTTCCACCAATACCCCAGAGATATCCCACAATTCATTGTACATTGCCCCAGACATCTTTTCTAGAAAAGTTCTGTCAAACAGTTGTTGTTTTCTCAAGTCTCCAGTCACTAATTACCTTATAAAGCAGAGAAACACACATGAAACTAATAATGAGCGTTAGCACCACTTCCAAAAAAAAAAAAAAGCAAAAAAAGCTAAAAGAAGTATGGAATACCAAGAATCATGAGGAAAAAAACAAACACTTTAACATTGAAAAATCAGATAAATATCACGTGTTGGTAAAAGTACAATTTTGTTTAAAAAAACAACAACTTCTTGTTGATTTTTCTAAAAAATGTTAAAAAAACGAAGAAGGAAAGTTATCAGTAAATGATAAATAAAGTTTTAAGCAGAACAGGAAATAGTAGTAATTTAAATAGCAGTTTAAAAAACAAAAACAAAAAAATAGCAGGTGAAGAACAACTCTTATCATACTGAAAATTTTTTTTAATTGTCCCAGAAGTATTTTGAAAGAATTTGCAAATGCAGTAAGGCGGCATCTTCCGTTTTACTTTTCTAAGATTATCTCTTATTTACAGGGTGAAGAATGATATTGAAAAAAATATGACTTATTCCTTTAGGCAGATACAATGATTAGGGTTGTTGGAAAGACAAAATACGGTTCTGTTGTAAAACGAATTAATACAGACAACCTTTGGTAAAGTTTCACAAGCATGGAATGAGAATGGCAGAGAGAATTACAAACAAAACGTTATACCTCACTCTATTTCTGGAAGTCTTTAAAAATACGTGTGAGTATTTTTAGGTGGACTATGAGTGTCGTGGTGGGTAGCTGGCACTTTTCATTATTATTGGTTTTGTTTCCCTCTCGTCTCCCTGTTGAGACGGTTTGCTACGATGGCATCGCTTGTGACGGCCAGAGCAGGTGGTCATGCTTTTCCGTGTGGGTGAATCTTTCCATCGTGAGGTCCCTTTGACGAATGCGACAGGGATCCTATTCCGTTTACGTCACTCACTTATGGGGGCCACAAGAATTTATTCTGCTCAAGCAAACTCTCGTCATTACTGCCTTAAGGTATTTTAATAAAAGGCTCACGACTATTGGTTTTAGCTTTAAAAAAAAAAAAGGAAAGCGGTAACAACAACAGCAAATGATGAGCACTCACTAGCAACAGCCTATACCCAATGCAATCAGGAAAAGCCACAAGATAAATACTCTCAAATCTCGCTATGCAACCTGATGCGCGCTCGCTCTCCTGCCAGGGCAAGGAGCACCTGCGGGCAGCACCGCACTCCGCCAGGTCGTCCTCGTGGGCTAGCCCGCTTCCCGAAGTGGAGAGAGGACTGGCTAGGCTGGCAGTCGCGGTGCTCACACCCAACGTTTGTGCCAGGCCTGAGTTGGAATCGACTTGCTGACAGTGAGAGAGTGCTTGAGTGAGGGAGACTCGGTTTTTTTAAGCACCAGAGGTCAGGACAACTGGAGACAGCACGGAGGGATTGCCGTGGAAGTTTCCTGTTGCTTTCTGAGCTGAGCGTGACCTGGACGATCGCCAGCAGAGGAGTCTGTGTTCTTCGTTCGGCTGAGCTGGGCTGAGTGTGGAAAGGAACCCTCTCCTCTTTACATCTGTGGAAGCTGGTTCAGTGTCAGGTAGGCAAACAATGTGATGACTGGAATGAGATAAAAGATGTGCCGTGCCCATGACACTTTTCAAATAACCCAGAGGGCACAGCAACCGGATGGCCAACACAGGACTGACATCCTAGGCTTACTGACTATGACCGTCCCGATTGATGCAGTCTTTACGTCTTCTACGTGGTCTTCTTGCTGTTACGCATTTACGTTGTCAAGAAAATAAATACATCTTAGTCGATAGTGCAGTAGTCAATTTGTGGTTAGTTATGGGGCAGTTATCAAAGTCAACTTGTTTTGCTTAAATTTTTAAGTTAGATGTATCAAAACTCAAAAGCAGATGATATGGTTGTTTACAGCAATGGTAGGTACGTGTAGAAGCTTTCTATCGCTACTAAACCTATTTTGAAATGCTTGGAATCCTGAACGTGGGGCAGTAGGTTGGTCTATTTAAGCACACGGCTGGCAGCTCGATTCTGACTCATAACGCCCCTGTAGGAGAGAGTAGAACTGACCCATAGGGTTGCCATGTCTTGCTCCTGCAGGGGACAGCTGGTGGGCTTGAACGGCCAAGCTAAGGTCAGCAGCTGAGCCCTTGGCACCACCAGGCCTCTCACTACACATGTAGTAGCACCTAATTTTAAGGGTTCCATACAAAGTGCCAGGAAATTAGGTGGTCCAAAAATGTTAGGAACCAGTCAAAAACTGGCCTGGCTGCTTCTTTTCCATCTATAACACTGGACTCAGGGCACCTACCATGAGACCTTAAAACGAAGGAGAGAAAAACTTACCCAGCTGGGCCTTTGAACAATAGTTTGCCATTTGTCCATTCTTGCAAGACTGCCACTTGTGCCTTTTTGCTGCCATGTCTGCGCTCTTCCAAGGTGGCCTTTTCCTTTTGCTCAGTTTGCTAAGGGCCACGGAACTCTCAGAAGTATTCCTGTCTGCGCTAGCACCAGGGCTGAGTCTGCGAAGGGCCGGGAGGCCGGCTTGCTGACTGGGAGGAGGGCTATCTGCTTTGGCACTTGCCATCTCTCTAGCGTGCTTCCTCAGGGCCACAGACCCTGCTGAATGGGATCGCAGGGCACAGCGCTTTGAGTCTTCGCCCGGAGCCTCACGGTCACTCCCACTGGCAATGGCATCGGGAGGGTACATGACAGCGTTTAACTTAAAGGTGTTGCTGTGTTCGAGATAGTTGATCTTCCTCAGAAATATCCTGCAGTCTTTTAACGTCTTGGGCCTCCAGTCACTGGGGCGGCCGCTTCCCAGTCGGGATCCCTTGTGCTCCCTCGGGCGGAACTTTGCCCCATTCTGCTGGGCTGCTGACAGGAATGGCTTCTCTAAGCCAGCGCGGGCTCGGATGCCGGGCACGCCCTGTTTCAGAGAGTCCCCCTCATCTGTTCCTGCTTCAGACTTAGGTAATAACAACGGGTTCGGGCGGAAAAACCCAAAGTTTCTCCTTCGGGAGTTCCAGAGGACCGGTGCCCAGCCGTGCAGCTCTCCTTCCCCCCTCCACCTTCCATGGTGCAGCTTCTGGAAGCCAGTCCGCTTGAGCCTGGCCAGAGTGAAGGCACTGTTCACTTGGAAGACCGGGGAGCCGGCCATTTGACGTAGGAGGTGCCATTTCCCCGCTGGTTTGGAGGGCGAGGACAGTGCAAATTTCTTAAGGTGCTTTCGGAAGGGGCTGGCATTCCCATGAGGCTGCTTGGCCCCCAGTGGAAGTCCCCTGGTGTTGATGACTTCCACAGGGTTCCGGGCATTTGCTTTCCTCACTAAGGAAAGAGAGTGCGTTTCCGTGGTTTGCATAAACCAGGAGTAGAGCTCTTTCAGATCGTACTTCTTCTGAAACAGCATCTTGACAGGTGAGACTTGAAGTTCCAACAGGCAGGTCCCCAGCGGCTTGGCTCGCTTCAAAGGCTCCTTTCCAACGTGCTCCGCCACTTGAGGGACGCTGTTTGTCGCTTCGTCTCCACTCACGTGCACCCAAGCATTGGTTATTTGCTCGAAGCGGTGGTTTAATTCCTCTAACAGAGAATCACTCGAGGTGGAAGAAGCCCACCACCGTAGTAAGGGGCTTGATGAGACGACAGGCTCCGCAGACACGTCAGTGATGGGCGGCGGCGAGGCGTCGTCTTCCAAGCACGTGTATGGATTCCTTGTGGGCCTCACTCCTGAGGTCCCTTTCGGGGCCATCTTTATCCGTGACTGCCTCCGTCTCTCCTTCCGGCCACGGCTCCTGGGCAAATGGAGTTTATACGATTTGCGGAGCAGGGCGTTCCTGTACATCAGCGATCTGGAAGAGGCTAGCGGATGCAAAAAGCGCAACGATCGCTTTCGGTCCGTCGCAGGCTGTCTCAGAGGCGCGGGAGCGGCCGCACTTTTTGATCTTGCCTTTAAACTGTCAGGCTCGGTCTGCCGGGTCGCATCCAGTTTGGGACACGGGGGACGGCACTCCTCTTTGGGGAGCTTCTCTCCCTCCGCCCTCTGCAGGTCTAAGGGAGGCACGCTGCTGCTGATGCGTACTTCTCTCTCCTGAGGTGAGAGTCCGTGAACCGTCACAGTTATCCCGGAGATCCTCACCTTGGCAGGTCTCCCGGGCTTCCTAATTATTGTCAACGGCTTCGCGGGGGGCCGGATAACGTTCTTGGAAAGCTCAGGTCTTGCAGACTTGTTCTTGATGGGCCTCACGTACTCATAGCCAGACCCCAAGACGTCGCTCTCCGTAGTCAGACCGGAGGCGGCACTTCCTCTCTCCGCCGAGCCAACTGTGTGGTCTCTAAGGTGTCTCAGAGGATGATGTTGGCTTGAAAAGTCAGCAGCAGGATTGCTTAGACACACAACATTGCTTATGTTTGCACTTCCTTCCGAAATGTATCTTTTTGTTCTTCTTGACCGTCCATAAATGACAGTCACCGTAATGTTCTTTTTATAAAGACCTTCCTTGACTTCTGATATGAGGGATTCTGGGCTTTTCTCATCCGCGAGAGCGGCCTCCTTTTGGCAAATGGTGACATTTGTTTGATTGGTCTTAGGTTTGGGGGGTCTCCCAATTGGTCGCTTGATCTGTTTCACAACCTGGGGACCAATTTTTTTAGGTCTACCCGGTTTCCTTTTAAAAGTCGACTCAACAGCAACACTGGTTGGGTTTTCCTTAGGTTGTTCTTCTTGTGGCGTCTCGCCCTTTGCGGTTTCTGGAATTGCACAATTAACTTTACTGGCCTCTCCTTGAGAAGTGTCAATACAATTGTGACGAGAACCATAATTCCCCAAGTTAGGATGGGGGATATCCTCATTTGTTTCTGGGGAGTTTTCACTTGCATGATTATGACTTGGGAATGTTTCAGGAGCGAGGTTGACATTTGACCCAGAAGTACCAACTGAGGTTAAAATATATTTGACTCCTTCACTGCTTTTAACTTCAGAGAGAAACATGAGTTTGATAGGACTAGAGTAATTGGAGAAGGAGCTCTGAGCGCCTTCCGATTTGGCTGGTTCATTTTCAACCCTGGGCATCGAGTGACCAGTGTCACTTCCTGTACTCCCATCTATGGTAGGTACACAGCTGCTAGTGCTACGACTGCTGGTTGCAAGTACCCTTTCTGGTAGACTCTGCTCTTTGCAGGCCATCCTACTCATGCTAAGAGTCAGATTTCCATCCGCATCTTGGTCTTCACAGCGGGCCTCTTCTATTATGGATGCCGTATGTCCTTCTAACGGTGGCTGGTTACGACTCCAAGACTTTTGTGCCATATTTATTGTGTCTTCCAAACGCTCAACCACAACTTGCACATTAGAATGCATTGCAATTTTGCTTAGGTCTATATCGTGTGTGTTTTCCATTGAAGTCTCTGTTTTGGGGATGGGTCCAGATACTTTTTTAGCCTTGGGAGACTTTCTCAATACAACATTATTGGTCACATAGATTGAGTACCACCCTGGAGGCACAATATTTCGTTTTGTTCGGCTCAGCAGCCCGGGAACCTTGCTTTTTGGAGTCTGAACCTCCTCCCGTTCCGGAGTCTCCCTGTAACACGGCCATCTTTGTTCACAAGCCACAGTTTTCTCCTGCGGGTTGCAAGTGATCCTTTCCTCAGGAGGCGTTTTAAAGCTTTCTGATGACGTGTCACACGTCAAGGTAGTTTCCAAACCACAAAGAGGTCGTGGCGATGATGGCAGTGCATAACCTGGGGAAGAGGGTGCCTCTGCCTGGTTTTCATCTCCATGGCTTTTAAGATCCGGCACAGACAGCCCCTGGCAATGGCGGGCCTTTCCTTTGCCCACTGAAGATGCTTCCTGGGTGTGCGTGGGTTTCTTCCCAATTTTTTCTGTGTGCTTTTTTCTTGGAAAGTTTTCATCAAGACTAGCCAGTTCTCTCTTTATCTGTAAAGACTGCCTTCTGCGCACGGGCGAATTGGGAGAGGTGTGCATGGCAAACAGGGTCTCCTGCTGCGTTCGGAATCGTGTCTGGATAATCTTGTTTTCTACCTTTTTCTCATGTTGACGCAGTAATTCCATAAAACTGTAATCGTTGGCCTTGGCATTGTGCAGGAGGGAAGTTATTAAATCGCCCAGTTTGAAGTCAGTATCTGCGTGATAATCACCACCCGCTGGCTTCAGAAAGGTGGTCGGATCTGTGGTTTCTATGGAGTTCAGTTTCTCATTAATGCGATCCATGAGATCTTGGAAGATCGTGCTGCTCTCACCCTCTTCCTGATCTGCCCCACAACGGTGGCCGTCTCCCAACAGCCAAGAGTCTGAGCTCCTGGGCTTCTGAGCTTTCTGTGTTCTGCCTTCGTGGTCGGCCTGGCCACGGCAGACTTCGGCTGGTAGGAGAGAGGGAGGCTGGTTAATGCTTGCTTCGAGTTTGTGATTTTCTAAGGCTGGGAGCTCGGACACACCATCTCTCAGGTGGTCAAAGTGCTCCGTCTGCACGGGTGATAATGGTGGGGGGGAGGGGCTTGGCGACCTGCAGGCTTCCTTGGGGCTGGCTGTCAGATCACACACTTCCCTGGACAAGATGGGAGCAGGGCAGGTGGATTTGGCAGAGTGAATGTTTGGCAGCAGTCCAGCCCAGCACCTGTGAGGAGTAGAAGGGTTTGCAATTCTTCTATTTGCTACTGTCTTAATGGGCTCGACAGTTACAGTTTGGCAAGACCCCCAAGGCTGACCTTTGATACAGACTGACAGGGGTGAGACCTCAGGGCTTTGTCGTTCCTTTTGTACACACCCTCTTTCTGCCAGTCTGTATGTCCCACAACTACAAAACAGACCACGTACGTCATCTTCAATTAGGGGCTTTTGAGGTTCTGAAGGCACAGCCCGGGATGCATTACAACAGCACAGGGAAGCAGCATTTCGCTCTTGAACTAGACATTTCAACATAGCCAACATCTGTTGCTGGTGATGTGTGCACAAAGATTCCATAACTTTGCTTAATGCGGATTTTTCGTTTTCCATTTTAGTAGCTTCCTCTGAATTTGCATCAATAGTTGAACTAAAAACAAAAATCAAACAAAAATAATAAATTATAGCAAAAGTACCAATCGTATCAGGAGTCGTCATTTTAACAGTGCTTGAACAAGAGAGATTTGGGGATCACCAGACTGCTAACTCCCAACAGTGCTGCAAGTGCAACAGCATGGTTATTATGGGGCAAAACTTTAAAGAAGCACTGGTGATACTTCAAGTCTCATGATAAGGCCTATGAGTCAGAGCACAGCCCTATTTCTGTAATACGAAAGCCAAGCATCCATATGAATACCGTTACAGATTGATAATGGTTAGTGTTTTGGATAAACTATGGATGTTTAGTGGCAAATGCTTCAGAAGGAGTTTAACTGTTTTGCAAAGTGGACATTTTATAAGGTATTTTTAAAATGAATAACCAGTCCATATTAGTACAAACAAGGAACTTTAAGATGTAGAAGTAAAACTTTTCCGCTCCTTATTTAAAATACCTATTCTTTTCCAAGCAGTGGAAGTAAAACGATTAATCATGAGAGCTTTGCAGTCACAAGAAAAATGAAGGGATTTAGATTTCATAAAAATACAGATTGACTAAAGTTAAGCTGTATTTTAACCTAGTCAGAAAATTAAATATTTAAGCTATTTAAAAATAACATCTATTTTAAAAATTGATTTTAAATACTAATTACATCAAAACTAGAGGCATTACTTACCTAATTATTTAATTTCAAATGCTGGAAAATGTCCCACTGCAGAAACTAATATGAATCTAACTTTAACCTAAGACCCAGGATTGCTTAGCAACCAATGAAGAAACCTACAATTTTTTTTATTCCAATGTCAGCAGTAAGAACATAATATATTAAAGAATTCTGTTTCAGAAAAGTATCTACTTTAATTAAACATATCACCAAACTCTGAACATGAAACTAGCCTTCCACTCACGAGCTTGTCTTTCATTGGGTGTTAACAGTGCCTGGCTTACGGGAGTCTTATTTAGAATTGGAACTGGGATATACTGGTTATGAATCACTACTGAAGAAGGAATTTGATTTTAATAAAAACTTATTAGGTTTATGTTAAAAATCACAGAATTTTCTTTTAAAAGGAAAGGAAGAATTAATCTTTTATTCTAGACCCTAAAATTGGCAGAACCTATCTCATAAATAAGTATGCAACTTTTGATTTACATCTTGTTGAATTAGATTAGGTGAATAGCAATGGCATCACAGGAAATTTTGAACACTTGATGAAATCTTTTCTGCGGGGAGGAAAAAAAGGATGGCTTTGTAGATAACCCGAGGCTAAAACTGGCAAGTAATTTGAAATCAGGCTAGCACACAAAATGAGAAGTTACAATGTCCACGACTGCTTTAATTGTTGAATATGCATGTGTGTGTGTGTGTGTGTGTGTGTGTGTGTGTAAATGTCATGGCTGGTAGAGTAAAGTGGCTCCTCAGAGTCATTCTTGCACAATTAAAAAAAAAAAATCTACGCTGAGAACAGAAACGTGGGAAAAGATAGCTATCCAATATTAAAGAAATGAAAACCTATTCTTCTGCAGCAAATTAAAAATTAAAATGAAAGAAAATATAAAAAGGTGTTAAGTGTGTTTCAATGTTGTTTTTAAAAAAATTATGCTGTAGCTATCAGATATGTGTTAATTAGTAATTAATGAGAGAAATTACATATTTTTTCAGGAAAAAAACCAACACTACCATGTATTTTAAAGATTAATATTGTTTCATAATAGTTCCTAGGATGCAGGAAAGCTTTTGTTTTTCTGTTATGAAAACCAAACTTATGAATAGAAGCAGGAATTCTGAGAAACATTACAGTTTCAAGTTGATAACACTCAGTTGTTAGGAGAACCACTGAAGGATTGTGATTCCCTTTCCTACATTCCATGTCAGTCTGCGCTTTCAAAGTTTTCTTATTCAGATTATTAACTGAATGAATGAAATTCTATATACACCATGTCTGATTCAAATATACCACCACCTCCTGCATAGCCTTTTCACAAATACTACATGAGAAATTCCTTAATAAAGTTACCAATTAAATACTGAGGTACTATAGTCATATCATAGTTCTTAGAACACTCCCACCATCTGCTTACTTGGTTTTCTTTTCTATGTGTGCTGCACGTTAGACTCTAACAAGAACCCTATCAGCTCACCAAATAATAGGTGAATCCACTCACATAAGTCTCGAACCTGGAATTCCGGAGGCCTGTTTCAAGGGTAGAGATTCTAAAAGTCTCTTTTGCAGAGATCCTTTGTTTTTAATGTCAATGCTTCCTAACCTTGCTTATCTTTCTCACCTAAGACATCCTGTCTGTTTTCTGCACATCTTCCATTTCGCTCATTATTACAGGCCTGGTTGTTGACATACTTCTTCAGAGAAAGTATATTTATAACATTAAGGCATTAAAAGAAGTCAGTGCAGTCAGGTTTTTTTCTTTGCCTTGTTTTTCTCCTTTTACTGAATGAGTAAATCAATCACACACCAACAGTGTTGTAAATTTATGTGCAAAAGCATTGAAGTGCTTTACTACAAATTACAACCTAGAAACACATTAACTGAACAATTAAAATTCATACAATCAGATTTAGATATATAACAACACAAAGTAGAAACAGAATTACAGTACATTTACAACACAAGACAGATACATGAATTCATTAGAAAATATTGTAATAAATAATTCATGAATTATAGTGCAATTGATTTATGCATAAATATAACTAATTGCCTAACAATCAGTTTATATTAACAAAATCTGTCAAAATCAAGGCAGCCACAGAGTTTTACTAAATTACTGCGACAATGGAAATACTGCAATTAAAAAACAAATACAAGTATTTGTACTGTAAACAACTAAAAAAAATCAGTCTCACTAAAGTTAGTATACAATTTAATATAAAATTGTCATTAGCTACCAGAAATGGTTTAAACAACTTTACTGAGCAGTAGTTCTAAAAACAGAGGCACTGTTTTTTTTCTTTTCTTCCTTTTTTTTTTTTAAATATAAAATACTTGAGGGACATTCAAATAAGTAGAAAGCGCAGAAGGATTACCTTCGCCTTCATCAAAAGTCTGCTGAAACTGGCTTTCCCGGAAAACTGTCAAAGAGTACTAACTGAGTTTATAACGTACTTGGAAAGTTTAACATAAAGAACATCTTAGTAGCATCACTGGGGATGGGGGGTGGGGTTGTGGTGAGGGGGAGCCCCTACATTTCCCTGCCTTTCCTAGTTTGTGTAATCAAACACCAACTCAATAATTAGAAATCTTTTGTTTCTTTGAAAAGTTATGGGTTGGTCACTCATCTATCAACTATCAAAAAATATTTCAATTTACGAATTTTGAACCCCAAATAAATAAATACCAGTACTAAAATGCTGCAAATTAACGCTAATCATTCCCTACAAAACTACTGATCACTGTGAAGACAACAGCAAAATGATCCCTGATTTTCACGAATCCTGTCACGTTTTTGGTCAGGTCATCTTTTAAATGATACAAAAGTGTTCTGGAAAGTTTCCCTTTACTATAAACGTCTCAATCAATTTATTAATGTAAATATAGTGTGAGGAATAAAAAAGCTCAATACAATATAAATAGTATATAATGCATTCAAGCTCCCAAAGTTCTGAAGTAAAATTCTATATAAAGAGGTCAATAATATTGGTTTGAAATGTTGATTTTACCTTTAGCGTTTGTTTGTTCAGTGGGGAGGGGGGCGGGGGTGGATAGTAAATAATCCAAGTTCTGGCCCTCACAAAATATGGCTTAATTCTTAAAAAAGTAAGATGACCCTGACATCTGCTGTTTTGTAATCTAGAAAGAATATTTTGGGGGAGGGGGGGCAGGGGGGCAGGGAGAGCAAAGAGCACGAGGATTCATCTCCTGGATTACAAGTAACATTTCTAGCTGAAGAGGGTCCAGAATGCGTCTAAGAGACCAAATCTAAGGGACCAATCGTACTCGATGGTGCAGTTCCGCACTCTTCAGTTTCATCAGCGACAATAGAAGTCGCTTTTCTATTTAAGAGCGGAACAATCTCGGCAGTAGTACATGTACGTCTGACTGTTAAATACACACAAACACAAGTGTAAAAACACAAGCATTTGACAAGGTGCACTTATTATTTCAAACAAAAACAAAACAAAACACTCAGCTAAAAGTAGTCCTGTTGGATTTAGGAAAACTGGCTTAGAAAAATGATCAGAACCTGAATTTTAACAGCGGTAAGGGGCACTCGGAGAAGTTTGAATAAATCAAGCCAATCCTCATCCTTCCCATTGGAGGCAGGGGCGTTCATTTCACCCCAGAATGGGTGCCCTGCACACCCCCCGGGGGCGGCGGGGCGTGGGTTCTCGGAGCCAGACTCTGAAACTGATCTAGGACCAGGGCTGTTCCCGCTCCCCTAGGAGCTGAACGAGAGGGAAAATGCACTGCCCCGTAGCTACCTAACCAGTTCACAGAGCGTTTTACATGACTGAACGCTCAAAACAGCTTCAGTGTTAAATATCTGTAAAATCTATTCAAGACCCTGAACAAACTGCAAATTTGGTTATTAGCAAAAAATGATAATGTGTCGCCCACCAAAATGAAATCTGCTATTCATTTTGATAAACTGAAAATGTTTTGAAATGTCACAGCAGCAAATATATTAAAGTTACACTGAGGTTCTTCCATAGGAGGAGTGCGTCACAATCCTGAAACTTTAAAGTAGTCATACCATCAACTAACCGGCACATGGAAACCAAAGTGACCATTCTGAATCAAGCTTCTCCTGTGCACAGCAGAATGTGCTCTACATTGCATTTCAACTTCCTCTTCTAACCTTTACACATTAGCTTATTCTTAAAATAAAAAAGGAAATTAAATTACTTTAATAATTAAATTCTTTTCTGTTCTTAGCAGTCCTTCTTAGCTTAGAGGTTTAACTAAGGTGTCGGTTTTGTTCTTAAAGTACAGACCTTGTAAACCCCAACTTCCTGCTAAGTCAACTGTTAAATGATAAATATTAAACTTCATTATACATAGCATTTAAGGTTTTCTTCTCTATCCCTGGCGGATGCACTCGCGTGCACTCTGTAGAACGCACTGGAGCATCATACTAATACTGTATATATTAATTTTTCTTAGTATGGAGATAAGAGCTGTCCACTGAAACTTTGACTGGTGGTTGGTTACGAGATCTGTATGTTACATGAAAATGTTTACAAACCATTAATCGTATTTCCATTATAAGATGGTTCAGCTGAATGGCTGGTGTGTGGTCTCTCACCAATAAAAAATGTTTCACTTGACAAGCACTTGTTTTCCCACAACGCTTTACGCTATTGACTACTAAAGAAAACCTGAATCGTTTCTTTCACCTATTTATACAAGGATTAGATACAAACTATCAGAATTAAGTAAGCAACTATATAATTAATCCTGTCCACAGTGAAAACCCTGAATAAAACTTTTTTTTTTCAAAAGGCATGTAAGTGGTTTTTGAACTGTAAAATATTATGTCTCCTGTCAGAGTGAGCATTTGTAATCCCCACACATGTGTAGATAGACACACACAAACACACACCTGGGCACATACACGCGCAAACACGCACACTCACGCGCACACAGATGTTTTCCTAATAAGTGATCTACACAGGCTTGCTGCTGTTTTTGCAGCTGCCAGTCCCTGAATCGGCCATACTCTATAACCCAGTGTCCGGTGATCGGAGCTTCTTCTTCGGAGGCGTCTTCAGTGTTCCAGATCTTTCCTTTACCTTGTATTCTAAAGTGCTGTGAGGTACCCCATAAATTCCTTGTGCTTTGGAAACACTCATTTTCCCACTCATCACCATCGCGATCGCCTCTTCCATGATTTCGTGGTCATACTGCCGGTAGCGGCCACGTTTTTTCCTGGGCTGCTTGTTATCTTTGCGGTCCAGTCCGTCTTCGGTGTTTTCAGAGGCTCCATCAACGGTTCCGTTTTTAGCATTAAGACACAAAGGAGAGAGGTCCCCGTGTAGGAAATAAGAGTCAACGCTTGAGTGAGTGATAGGCCCAGAGCATTCCGTTTTGTTCTGCTTAGGGAGGATGCTTTTCAGTTTTTGGAGAGCTGACCCTTCCAGCACTGCGGACGTTTTAGAGGCTTGATACATGGCATCCAGCAGCCCAGAACCGTCGGGTGGTGGCTTTGAGACAGAACTCACTCGCAGCTGAGGGATTTTTAACTGTACAGTCGGAGCTGACGGTTCATATTGTAGGCTTTCGTTTTTCTCTTTACACTGAGCAACCATTTTCTGTAGCGTTAACTGATGGAGGTAACTGGAAGCTGTTGGGAATTTTAATTCTGAGGTTTCAAGTAGATTGGGTTTACTTTTTTCTGTGCGCTCGGCTTGAGCTCGTGCCCATAAGGCTACTTTCTGCAGCACGGCACACGTTTCTTTACTGTCTTTATATGAGTAACTATCATTGAGATCGCAAGTTTTGTTTTTAAAGGACGCAGGCTTCCCTGCTGGTAAGGCTTCTAAGTGGAGAAGTAAAGTTTTTTGAGGTATGCCATAAAGTATGCCTGCTTTATTTATGTCCAGTGCTCCAGACTGAATGTCTTTCAAAGCTTTTGAGAGCAAACCATCTGCAAACTCAGCACTTCTTTCCACATAGTCCTCTCTGTTTCTGTGGAGTCTCCTGGATGGATGGAATGAAACGATGGTAAACTGATGCATGAGAGACTCTCACACAGCTATGGAAGGGGAGGGTCCACTCCTTTATTATACTCCTTGCTTAGGTAACATCACTGCTTATGACACGTTTAAGTTTGTGAGACGGAGTTACTCCTTATCAAAGCAAAGGCTACATACAGTCCTGCTAGGACAAGGTGGCAATCATACGGTGGCCCCCACCGGGCAGCCCTTCCAGGAACATCAAACCCTAACTCAGTATTTGTAAAAATACTCTCATGATGTTGCTAGTCCTCGGACAGGTGCTTGCGGAGCAACACGTTAAATAAATTTTATCTGCACAATTAATGTTCCGTTATAAAAAAAAAAATACCCCAATCCTAAAGGAGTTTTTGTTAGTAGAAAACGTGACGTTACCGCTAAACAAGTAATAAAAGAGTCAACCCCTTTAAAGGAAATTTGTAGTAGCAAGAATATTACCAAACACAAACACCCCATATTTTCCAGACTTTTCTCTCTAGACAAAAAATTCAAATTTGAAACGAGTTGATAAGTCAGATTTGGATAAAATAATCTTGTTTTAGAGAGAGTCTGCATGCTGTTTCTATCGCTTAATGAATGTATCACTGTAATTTTCCAAGTTCCTCCAACTTCAAAGAAAGCTTGCTGTGACTTACAATTCAAATGCTATGACAACCTTGGTGGAAATAAATGACAGTCTAAAACTGAGACTTAAGGGTGACAAAAAAAAAGCTTCCTAGGCTTTTGATTAATGGGACGATGCAAAACTTACAAAAAAATAAAAGTGAAACGAAAAATGCAAATCCAAGAATTCAACAGAACAGCATTTCACAACTAATTTTTGGTTTCAATCAATTCATTCAATGACAGCTTTCAAAGCATGAAAGGTCTCTCTGGTGATGACTAAAAATTAAATGGTTTGCCACCACACCTAAAGCACAAGGGGGCGTGGGGGAAGCAAACACCATGAGCTAGCTTTCAGAATTGTTGAGGATGTCGTACTTTTAGAATTTGGTCACTGTTTAAAAAATTCAATACTGCCATGAAATATTTTCCTTAAAATTGCCTCCTGGACATTTGAAATGGTCTTGACTCGTCCTGCTTCTTGGTTGGTATTCTATGATTAAGTCGGTAGTTCATTTTAGCAACATGAACTAAAGTTTGGTGATTGTTCTGATAACTTTTCTTTAACAGAAAGAATAAAAAAGAAAGAAGAAAAGGACAAATGAAAAGTATGAGAGAGACGTACTTATGAGTGACAAAAATTCTGGAGGAAAGCTCCCTGAGGTCTACCCAGAAGAGAACTGATTTTTCTGCAGAGGTCAATGCACATTAGCACCGCAGCACATGCCCTAGATGTCGCTTACCCAGCCACTGGATTTTCAGAAGCAGGATCACACATGGAGGATTCTTCACACTGGAGGCTGGTTTTCTTTGTAGAGAGATCTAACACTCCATCCCCTATAATTTTGGCAAGAGAAAAGACTTTATATTCATGACACGCCAGCAAGCCTGACATTTCCAACACTTCATACGTTCTCAGCTGCTAACTCACGACCTAAAAGATCATACGCGGATTTGACGTGGGACCATGACCCACTCACCTTACGTTCACAGCAGCAAGGGCTTGATTGGGATGGTGTTATATAGGAAAGAAAGAATGCAGACAGAGGAAGAGGTGGAGGGCCAGGCAACGTGACCGAACTAGCAGGTGATCCCGCTGCCCTCAGGGTTTCTGAGATGGTAAATTCTTAGGGGAGCAGGAAGCCTTATGTTTCTCCCATAGAGCAGGTTTGAACCTGACCTTTAGGCAAGGAGCTCAACACTGCATACCTAGTGTTACAAGGTCTCCTTGTAGCTTGTAAAACCTTTTACTGACCCACTCTGACTGCAGTACCTCTGATCACTCCTCAGGGACTGTTTCCCATTGACTACTGCCCAGTGAGGCTTTCTTTGGGTAGATGGAAGTGACGAAGGTTGTACAAGGTGGCAAGAACAGTAAGTAGGACGAGGACTAAGAGAACGGCACAGCTAGTACCTGGTAGGACCAGTAATGTCTGGCACATGCACTTTCGGTAAACTTTGACTCTGTGTATAACCAATGTATTTTTTAGAAACTGCACTTCATAATTGTACTATTTTAAATGATTGCGATGTACAGTAGTTGAATCATTGCCGACATAATATACCATGGTTCTAAGTATGGTCAGGCGCCCCGGTGACGTAGTGGATTATGTACATTAGGCTGCTAACCATCAGGTGAGTGCTTCTAAACCATCACCTGCTCCACGGGCGAAAGAAGTGGCTTTTGACTCTTGTGAAGCATTACAGTCTTGGACACCCACAAGAGTAACTCTACCCTGTCCTGTCGGGTCAGGGCTGGAATCAACTCAATGGCGGGGAGTTTGGTTTTTTGGTTATATCTACCGTTGGAGGAAGAAGATCAAAGGCATAATGTAAAATATCTTTTTTTTTTCAGGAAAACTAACTTGCTACAAAATGACTGCTTACATTATTAGTTTTTATAGTATTACAATATTCTGTTTATACAATTAAAACTTCAAAGATTCAGGCATATTGCAAATCTGACAGTCTATAGGATGAAAAAGAAAACAAACTGTACGTTAAAAACATAGCCAAAATACCGACTCAACTGCACCTAACACAACCACCAACAGCTAAACAATAATAAAGGAAAAGGTAAGCTATTAAAAAATACCTGTTAAAAATATATTTGATCATTCAACTGGGTTTTATTCTTACCATATAAAGTCATCTAATACTGAAGTAGTCATGAAATACAATGATGAAAGAACGAAAGGAAACATCATTCCCAAACCTCCTATGCATACTTCATTGGTGATTTATGAAGTGTCTATTATGTCCAAAGCAGTGGTACAAAAAGGTCAGATGAGGTACATGTTCTCATGGTGCATAGAACTCGTGAGTGGGTTCATAGAATAATGCCAATGAGAAGACATTTCTGGGTGATGATCAAGAGGAGTAAGTGGATTGTGACAGTGGGGCCTCAGTGACTTGGAAAGAGTCCTGACCAAGGTCGGTGCACCAGTCGAGCAGCTAGCTAGAGAGCCTGGTAGAAGGAACAGTTGGTGCCAGGGGGCAGTGCACCCATCCCATATGGAATGTAGAGGGAGCTCCGGGCTGAGTGAGGCGAGATCAGAGATGCTGTTGGAAGACTGCTAACCTAAGACCCTGCTGATTCTAGGGGGGGTGGAGACTCTTGAACGATTCAGGGAAGCTGTAATAACAGATACTTAGGATTACACTATTCTATTTAGGCGACACTTTATCTTACAGAGTTTGGGCCTGTTGTCAGGAGAGACCAGAGAGAGACCTGGAGAAGAATATCCTGCTGGTAAAGTAGAGGGACGATGAAAAAGAGGGAGGTCCTCGGTATGACGGGTGAACAGGTGGCTGCAACACAGTGGCTCCGGCATAAGAACAATTGTGAGGATGGCATAGGACCTGGCGGCGTTTCTTTCCTCTGTGCACAGGGTTGCTATGCACCGAAACGGACTCAAGGGCACCTAACAAAGATAACACTTTGTCCTAGATGAGGGGCTACAAAAGATTTTAATTGCGCTAAGTAAATTTTTTTTTCTGAAAAGGAGGTGGTCGGCCAAATAACGTGGGAACCTATGTGGCAGGCCAAGCTGAGACTGTGAATGTTCCTTTGAGAGACAGGAAGCCGGTGGTAGGTTTGCAGCAGAAGATTCACATGATCTTAATCTATGGGTTTAAAGGTCCAAGCTGCTGTTGGGTGTATGGCTGGCACTGGGTCAAGGGTGGAGGTGGGAAACTGGAGGGAAGGATGCAATGTTATTTCTCATCTCTGTGTTCGCAGACCACTACTTCCTCCTTCTCTTGATACCCCAACACACATCCTCTCCAACTCTAACTGGTCAGGCAAGTTGTGTCTTCACTCACATTTGGATGTCATTCTTCCAGATCCTGTATCAGCAACACTTAGCTAAATTATTTAGCATTTTAGTAGTTTGTAACCCAGTTACCGAGCCAGAGTGACCCTAATAAAATTAAACTCACTGTCACTGAGTTGGTTCCAACTCATGGTGACTCTACAGGGCAGGGTACCCGAGATTGCACTTTTTATGGTCGTAGAAAGTCTCATCTTTCTTTCCACCGAGAGGATGGTGGTTTTGAACGGCGGAACTTAGGGTTAGCAGTCCAGCAAGTAACACTACATTATCAGGGCTGCTAGGAGTTGGAATTGACTCTATGGTAGTGAGTTTGGAATGCTTTCAGTTTATTCCACTCATCTGTATATTGATAGATAAATAGGCTATGTAAGGCAGTGTCTATTTAATTCATCAAAATATAACCACTGCCTCCAATAGTGCTTGGCACATAACAATGCCCAATAAGCATTTGCTGAATAGAATTTTGAAGAACTGCAAGAACTGTATGGCTAGAGGTTAGGTGCCAATCTTAAAAAGGTAAAGTACCATAACATCTATTTCTTCAAGGACATATCTTGCATCTATTGGTATACCCTACTTTTATGCTTAGTTACCACCTGATATCAAACCTCCCACCCCTTGTGTATCAAAATATCCTTCAATGCATTGCTATCAAGTCAGTTCTGACTCATTGTGGCCCTTCAGGCTTCACTCTTTCTGGAAGTAGACTGCCTCATCTTTCTCCTTCGGGGTAGATGATGGGTTCAAAACATCTAGCTGTTGGTCAGCAACCAGGCACTTTAACTATGCACCAACAGGGCTCAAAAACTCACTGCCATCAGGACTATTTTGACTCATAGCAACCCTATAAGACAGGGAATTACTGCTCTTGTGGGTTTGCAAGACTGTAACTCTTTTTGAGAGTAGAAAGGACAGTCTTTCTCCCACATAGCAGCTGGTGGTTTTGAAATTCTGACTTTGCAGTGAGCAGCTCAACTCATAAGCACTATGCTACCAGGGCTTCTTAAAGCATGTGCACACTCCCTCAAATATGCTATGCAGTGCCACCATGCCTCTGGAAATGCACACTGTCCACCTCTTCTACCTCTTCAAAGCGTCAAATTCCTGCTTAACTCCCTTACTCAGCCTTAGAGACCTACAGCTCCCCAAGCACAAGTTGATGACTTTCTCCCAAGTGTCAGCAGCACCTTGTAACACTACGTAAGGTGTTTCACTACATAAAGGTCACCATAACATTAGGACATTATCAAGCAATGATTGATTTACATATCTCCTCCCCTGAGGCTGTACTCCTCAAGGCTGAGGAGCTTATTATTCCTTTACATCTCATTAAACACACTGCAATGCAAGAATCTACTAAAGGGGAAAATGTTGTTCTCACTCTGTTTTACTACCATCATTTCTTGCCTTTATTCCCCAGTAATAATAATTTTATTCTTATTTCAAGACCTTATCTTAAGACTATTTTCTTCAAGAGATGACCATTGTCAATAAAACTGTTAAATGACGTCCCTCACTGACCCATAGCCCTACAGGGGACAACAACGGAGACACAGTATGGGAATTGCACCCAATCTGATCCCGCCACACCGAGGCAAAACACTAAGGGGTACAACAGAACAGCAAGAGAATGGAGCAGCGAGGTTCCCAGGGAATGCTGAAGGTGGTCTTTGGGGCCAGGGTGGGGTGCCCCAACAGACTGGACTGGAAAACACTCCTAAAGGCCAACAAATGATCCTTGAACTAACTACAAGCTTTTCTTTCTTGTTGTGTTTTGTTTTGCCTTTTGTCATTGGTTTGTTGTTGT